GAATGTATTTGTTGCTCGGTAAAAAGAATTTTTCATAAGGGCTCATACAAAGATTTCATTAATCTTCGATTCGATATTGAATTCAATTCAGATGTCACATTAGAACAGATTGCTTATATTGTCGGAGAACATAATTCAATCGAAGAAAAAAATGGGATTCGTTACTACAATCACAATTTTAATTCACGAGTTGACAAATTTGAATTAACAAACCATAAAACTGAAAATAATTTAGAAGTTGATACAATAGTATATCCTGAAGTAAGAAGAAAATTAGAAAATAGATTACATAGAACTAAAAGAAAAAAAATACAATTCAAAGGTTATAAAGAAGACAAAATTGATTATGTAATTGAAGATTTAGATGATAATAAAAAATACGATTCAGATGCATCTATCTCTTCATTGTCATCTAATGATTCTGAGACAACAAAACGTAGAAAAAAAGGAAAAACTGTTTGTATAAAATATTAAAATTTATTTTTTTTTCTCTGATAATATTAACTACATATAATGAAACCGAAAAAGAAAATAAAATTGAAACATGTTAAAAAAGTGGTTGAAGATGATCTTGAGGATGGTATAGGGTCAGATATAAGATATATCGTGGAAATGCAGGAATAACACGATCCACTTTCAAGTACTGTAAACGTAAACATATTTTTATCCTAGAGGTTCTTAAAACAACTGATGATGTTTTAGTTTTGTATAAACCAAAATTCAATAAAGGTCTTAATTTTTTACTAACATAAATAAATATTATTAATGAAGTTTTAATATACCAATCAGATTGCATCTTGAATCGAGACATTTTTTTATAACCAATCAGATTGCATCTTGAACCGAGGCATTTTTCACGTGATTTTTCTTTGGTTGAGCCAATCATTTTAAGCGAGGTATTTTTTTTGACCAATCAAATGAACCAAGGCACTTTTTTTAACCAATCAGAAGTATGCCTTTAACCGAGGCATTTTTTTATTAGTAATTATTAGAAAATGCCTTACCGAGGCAAAATTGAAAAGTTTTCTTTTTTTTTTGTGAAACGTGAAAAGTTATTAGCCAATCAAATTATTATTTTTATTAAAGTATTTCCACAGGTAGTACTGAAAACGTTGTTTTTTACACCTGTGGAAATACTTTTAATGTAAAAAAAAAATCGAAATTTATTATGTATAAAGTAATAGATTATATCGCACAATAGTTAATTTAAAATAATAAATATAAATAAATTCGTACAATGTAATAATCGTTATGTGATGTGATTACCGATTGTTTATTTATTTGTTGTTTTTGATTTTTGTTCTCTTTTAGGTGTTTGTTTATCTTATACCATAGGGCATATTGTATACAAAATAGTTCTGGATTCTATGTAAAAAAATAAGACCATATATAGCTGAAGACGGCCTTGGGAATTAATTTCCCTGTTAAAGAGCAAACAAATTTTTTTGT